GGTAGAGTTGAAAGATAGGGATGGCGACAAGGACAAAGATGAAAACAAGAACGGTAAAACTGATGATGACGATGATGATGTTGATGATGAGTTGGAAAATAAGAGTGACGAAGAGGCTGGTGTCGGTAAAAAAACTGTTGGTGAGGAGAAGGAAGAGGTTGCTAACAATGATGAGAGTAAGGGAGATGGAGAAGATGATAATGTCGATGTTGACGAAGAAACCAATGGAGAGAAGGAGGATGATACCTTGGGGGAGGTTGACGAATAGGAAGACGAAGGTGATGGTGAGAGGGACGAAGATGAGCTTAATGACGAGGAGATATCAGAGGAGACGGGGGAGGAAAAGAAAGGGAAGGATGGCCGCGAGAATGAAGATGAGAGAAAGGGGGGAGAGTAGAAGGACGAGGGGAATATGTTTGATGACGAGGAAGATGGAGATGATGAGAGGGACGTGAATAAAAACGATGCTGATGGAAAGGATGAGATTGGAGTGGTGAATGGGAAGGAGCGTAAAGGAGAGGGTGAGGATGGGGACAGCAGCAGGGGGGTTGAAGAGGAAGACGAAGAAGAGGAGGAGGTAAAGGTGAAGGAGGAGGGGTAGGTTTTATCTTCGGTGGATGTAGCCTCACCATTCTGCCAGACACTTTTTAAGGCAAAAGATTCGACTTGAATTTTCTGTGTTGACTTGCTAGTCACAAATGGTGCATAGCTTTTTTTCGGTCCTGCATTCAAGCTCGATTTTGGAATGAAGCCATCGTTGTAAAAATTTGTCGTATTCGCTGACTTCGACCCAACAACTGACGAGACAAACAAGAGGTCTTCAGTGTGGTCGGTTATGAGGGATGGTGTGCTTGAGCGAATTAATTGGGTTGTGGATGGCAGTCGACTCGAAATTCCAAGCTGTCCACTTTTGGGTTCAGTGGAGCCGGCAGAATGAGAATGAGAAACCAACGAACCATCTCCGCCAAAGGCAGTGACTCCTATAAACAAGGACAACGTAAATTGGTAGATCGGTTTTCATAATGAAATCAAACAAAATCATTACATAATCTGCAAAAATGACAATCTTTTTCTTTCTCTCTAATCATGAATAAGTTTGGTCGTCCTAGATTTAGAGGGAACGTTCCGGGTTCTTTTACAAGTGGTCTTATTATAATTACCGTGCAGAACATATGAATGAGCTATTGTCAAGTGGCCATTAATTTGCATCATAAGCTCCACGGACAAGTCACGATTGTTTTAAGTCCCATACTATAAGTAAATAGACATTTTTAACTTAAGTAGTCGGTAATTACGTAATATTGTTTCTGTCTCACCGAAGACTCGAGAAAACAAAGCCCCTTTGGCGTTTTGTCTATGATTGAATAAAAAAAAAGATTAACTGACACGCAAGTTAAACTTTTTCTCGTCTGTTTTTTACTTACGAAACCCGTGGTTTCTATGCGTTTCTATTCCTGAATTTTCGTTATCATGTTAGACTCTGCTATGTATGTATCTAAGACAGATAGTTTGTGTGAAATTTTAATCGGTTTTTTCTTTAAAAAGTATATTTATCAGACACTTAGCGTCCTAGACAAAAAAATTAAGTATTGTTTTTATCGCAAGTATAGAGTAAGGATTTCATCGCTTGTGACGTGCAGCTCACTTGTGCGAGGATTCAACATGGTGATCTCAGCTGAGCGACTTAAAGAACAAGGCCGGAAACTAACTTGGTGAGAATATTTTCACAGCTAACCTCTGAATTTAGTAGTCTCGCATTAGACCACGACAAAGAATTATAGTCCTCAGGTAGACCTAATTTTAGTTCAGTCAAGGTAAAAAAAATCATCTTACCAAATTTATCATTTCGATTTGATTCGAACCTTTCTCTTGACACAATGGGTCTAGTCGTGAGCTCGACCCGCCCGACCTTAATTATTTTTCTTATTATTTACAGAAAATTCTATCATCGACGTGAGACATTTTTGTCTAGCCGACTATCTTGACTCATAAAGCTACTTAGCTGGTAATTTATAACTGCTGGCTGAATTCCTTTTGCATCTCTTAAACGACTGAAAAAAGATCCTAATGTATTCAACACAGTACTTCTACTGAGCGAGACAGTTTTCAGCAATCTTACCTCTAAAAAGGATTAACAAGGGAATTGCCACATTCCACAGCAGCCAAACGAATTTTTCCATTATTAAAGGAAGATCAGATCCGTTGTCTTTAACAGTCTAATCTTGCGATCAGTGAGACTCGTAAGTTATTTCAACGGGGCCTGGAAGACAAAATTCAATCAAGACACTTCCAAGTTTTCTCACGAGATTGTAACATAAAGCCGCATTGTTTGTCTTCTAACGCAGCAGGGATCAATTCAATCTGTTGACGAACTAAGATCATTAAGTTGATCCGTTGGCAAAACAAATCATACTGAATAAATCCGTTTATCTATGTGAAATCCGATCGATATTTTCTCTGTAAGTTTTACCGTAATCTGAACTTCCTTATTTAAATTAACATGCGGAAAGATAACTTCGAGGTCATGTCTGGACGGGTGCCAAGGAAACATGTGTGAAGGAGAGAAACTATCATAGCTTAGAAGTGCGTTTCAACGCGATAAAATTAAATTAATTTTACATCATGGACTTCAACATGATTAATTATCTTTAAATTACCTTGAGCTTGGCAAATGGCTTGGCTTTTCTCAGAGGAGTCAGTTATTACTAAGAAAAAAGAGTATCTACTCCAACTGCGTGTGGTGTTTCTGCGCAAAAGAGAACTTTAAGTCGCACTGACTCTGATAAGTACTGCCCCTGGGTAGTAATTGTCACTTCTGGGCGACATCGTGGAGCCTGGACAATGATCCGTGTTTATGATTGCAGTTAGACCGTAACAAGTGCTTGAAAAAATGCAATGACCCGAAGTTAGGTGCCAAGAGGGCACCGCGTCAGTATTGGCAGTAGTACAACAATTTGGTTTTTTTGTACGATGTTCCATCTTTACTATTCAAAGCTGTCACTCATCAACTAATCAACGGTTAAATTATGAGATAAATTCTATCGCGTGATACCTGAAGAGGGCGATGCCCCAATTAATATCACGCAAAGAAATTGAGAAAGAATAAACTAATTGTTCCAATAGAAATGCACCAAAAAATAAAAACAGGCTCACGTTTTGATTTTATTGCGTATACAACCATGATCTTTAACAGAATATATAGCGTAGCCAATCAGATTGTAGCATCTGTAAGTGAAAGCTCGTAGATTTATGCTAAATTGGTGTAAGAATATTAAGAACAACTCTGTTAATTGACGGACTCATGACTGAGTGACGTAAAAAATGTATTACTGTGACAACGGGTAATGCAATTCGACAAAGTTCAGAGCCACCTCGTTTAAAATTTTCCGTTTTTACTTGTGGCTCCGTAGGCTTGGTTTGCCTTGCATATACAAGCACTGGTCTTGTATCTATCTCATTCCTCGATTCTAGTGCCTTCTCCCGCCCTAATCCAAGCCATATGACTGAATGACCGAAACCAAACTCGTTAGGTAGCATAATTCAGATTCATTCTAGCTTAATTGCTGTAAGACCATTTTTGTTACTGGGATACCTGTCGTAGCCCAGTCATAAAATGCCTTTTTTTTTGTCGTCTTTTTTTTTCCTCCGTTCACATGCTGATCACGCGTGTTATCTTGATGATGATTGACGTTGTCATGCACGGACAGGGCCGGGTCACATGACGAACCACGAGATGTTTGCTTGTAAAACTCTTTCGTCTGTCGTTTTGTATTTCAACGTGTATGGATTACAACCACCTAGAGCATTATGGTGCAAACGCTCAAAATACTTACAGACGCATACACAAGTCGTATTGTTCGCGGTCAATCCACACTAAAAGATGTTATTGAGCGGTAATTTTGGAACGGATTGAGTCATGAACGCTTGAAAGCTATGAAAGCCTTGAATGCCTTGTATGCTTTGTATGCCAAGTATGCCAACGTCTTAGTTGAAAAACGTACACTTGTTGTAAAAAGCAAATTCTGAAATCTGAAACCAAACTGCATATACTCTATGCAATCTACTGAACAACACTACTACCGTGAGACTGAAGAACAAAACTCTAATGGATGCAAACTGCTTGTGAAACAAGCGACTAAATTCAGGAATGGCTCCGACCTGTGATTGGATGATAAAAATAGTAAAAGTTAATAACTTATATCTTAACTCCTTACACGTGAGTATGGTTAACCGCGTGTCTCGAAGCGGAACAATGAAATATCAATGTGAAAACACCGATGAGTCAAACAAGAAATGGCTACTTAATGGCATACATAATGAAGAGAAGGCAGAGTCTAGCTTGTTCAGCGAGGTCGTTCAGCG